AGTCCATCGGCTGGATCCTGCCTTCCTCGGAGAGGATAGACTGAACTGTTAAACCAGGTAAGTGACCAACTCTGATAATCATCTCCTGTCAGATGATCGTGGTAATTTACATGTGTTTTTTCCTCCAGAGTGTCCGTATTTGGGCTGTGCCCTGCCCCCCTCCTGCAGCCACTGCTGTCCATTTATCCTCTGCAGCCTGTGTCCCGTTAGGTTCTGTTTTATTATTCTTTCTGTCATTAAACATCTTGAAACGTCCCATGGTCTGACTCAGCTTGAAAACTGGGTCCATATGTGATGTTTATGACACCTCTATCAATCCCAAACATCCAATGAAATTAACAAAAATCAAACGTCTACAGCAATGTACTGACCGAGCTGGATACTAAAACATTTTCAAACTAGAAAGCAGACATGGGCAATGTGGAGTCAACAAGTCATCTCCATGTCATGTATTTGTTCTACCCAGCCACTGAAGCAGGTGAGTCCAATCTTCACAGTGAATTAACCTGTGCAGATTGGACTCAGACTGGTTAATTGGCTGGGTAGATTAAATACATGACATGGAGATGAGTTGTTGACTCCACATTTCCCATGTCTGCTAGAAAGCACCCGGAGAGCGCAGACCTCCGCCAAGCAGCAAATTTTCCACAAATGGTGACTTACACCTAAAGCTAAAACTCACATAATCTGGATCATTACCAAATTTTAAATAATTCCTTGGCAAAAAGTGTCCATCAAATCCATTCATAAGTTTTCAATTGATTGGGGAACTGCTTGTTCCGCCAAATATCCCCATCTCACAATGGTACAGCTCCTGCATCCAGATTGTGATCTGGATGATCACCAAAATGTGATGTATTGTTCATTGGCTTGAGGGAAACCTCTGATAAAAAATGCAGTAAAATCTGTCCATAATTATTCAAGTTATCCTGTACACAGCCAGACAGACACAAACTCAACTAAAATCATAATCTCCTTGGCGGAGGTTATACGAGGCAGATCAGAACTTTGGTAAGCTCTAATCTGACCTAGAGCTAGCAAATAAAATTCCACAGAATGATGGAACCACCATGCTTAGCAGGTGGTAAAGGCACTTGTTAATGTTTAAAACCCTCCCGTTGACTCCTCCAAACCCTCTTGTTGTCATTATGGCAACAAGCTTGGTTTTTGTCTCCCACAACTTTTCTAGCTATTTAGCTCATAAGTGTTGGCCGCTGGAATTTAGGTCAAGTTTGACAGTGGCTGTTTTGACTTTGTTGAATATAGTCTCAATTTTATTCTTCCAAAGAATTTACAGATATTTTAAATTGACACCAAAAAACTTTTAGGCCAGAGTTTTCTTCTGATTTGAACGTTGATCAGTTCTATGGGTAGTTTCAAGAAAATACTTATAATTGGAAAGAAAAACTACTACCAGACATGTATCAGTACCAAACAGAAGTTAAAGAGTTGTGACCCTTTCAGGTTGAAATATTTTTACGATTATCAAAGCAAAAAACTGAAAAAAAAAAACAACTAAGCACTGTGACAGCAAATCTACAATAAACGTCAAATATTTGAACCAGTTAATGTCATTTAAACCGCTGATGTTTTATGTGGCGAAATTAGTCCAACTGTTGAAAAAAAAACTGCATCTGAACTTCTGACTGGAGTAAGGCCATCTCAGATATTAAGATGTTCTTCATGTTAAATTTGGCGTGCCAGTCTTAGTGATTATCTAGTGGATAACCACTGAGACTCCGTCTTCATGACCATAACCCTCAGCAGGCTACTTGTCTGCTTCCCCCTGCCTGTAGAAACATGTTTGTTCTACAAGAACTGCTTCCTACAGTCATATATACCCTGCCTACTCTCTTTGAGCTCCAACGTCATCATAACTAGTAAGCCTTGACAAACTTAATTTTTTTGAAAAACTCTACCACCTGCTCCCAACTCTCCCTCTTGTCTGCAGTGGATTGCCAGTCCGAAAGTCTTCCTGGATCCAATTCAGGGCAGATTCATTTTTACAATTAACTGATTTATCATAATTCTCCTGCGATTCTCTGCGCAGACTTTAGAAGCCCTCCTATATGACCCATGCTCAGATGTACTTTTCTATACAAAACCACACCTGGAACACACTCCGAATAATTCGCATTTTTTCAGACGGCAGGAACCCTGGAGCTAAGTTGCAGCTGCTTCAGATATGTCTGAGTCAGAATTTGTTTTACGGAAAGCTGAACGTTTAGTTAATTATCTCTTAGCTAGGATCTGTCTATTACTAAACCTTCAAAGCGGTGTGATCCTGTTGCATAGGACAACATGATCTCCACATGACGGCACAGCTTTTAGCTTTTTAGATTTGGTCCAGTGCATCTCCAAATAACAAAAATTAGCACACACAGCTACATGTTTTTGTTTTTAATTGGCTGCTCTCTAGCGCTTCATGTCTGTCACTTACAGCTGCAAATTCTTCATCCGAGCATAATAGAATACAAAATTAAAATGTATACGCCTAATAATAATAGGGAAGATAAAACAGCAACAGTGCTGTAAAGGAGAATGAGCATCTTTATAAGGCTGACAGGAACCTCATATACCATGACAGAGCTTTGTAGTGCTTTGATCCTTCTGAATAATAAACTCTAAACAGGATGAGCCTTTAATGCTGCAGCATTTTGCTGCTTGTTCCAGCAGCTCCTGCTCACATCTCAGTAATCCTCCAGAGCGCAAAGAAAAACAAAGGAGAGGAGCTTATTTTGTCCAGAGGTCTGTCCTGAAATCAAGCTGCTGTGTTCTTACGGTAGACATTTAAAAAAAAGGACTCTGATTGGTTGACATTAAGATGTTGTGTTTGAGGTGGCACCCCATCTCGCTCCATTACAACCACTATCCTGGAGCTCATCAAAGCCGGAGGCTTCTAGGAAATATGAGTCTGCTAAAAGCTTTGTGGGCCGTCTCAGAGCCGCTGTCCACTCCACTGTGTAAATAAAGCTCCCTACCAGTCATTGTGTGTTTGTGTGTGTTTTGATTGGACAGTCTTACAGCTCCACTGATGTGTGTTTTTATGACTCAGGCTGTGTGTGTTAGTTGTTGATGTGTAGCGGCACACGCTGCTCAGATGCAAAGTGTCCATGACAGCTTCGGATCGATGTTCTGATCCGTGTTATTCTCCTCCCGGGGGAGTCTTTATCCACGTGCTGCAGACACTCTGTCCTGTTCACTGAAACTCACCAATGGCTTTGCTTCTTTTAACAACATCCACTGGAAGTGAGCTTCAGCACTAAACAATGGGAAGGAAAAAGCATGTTCCACATACAGACTTAAATTTGATAAATCTAGTCCCATTAAAAGCCGCTGCTGCTGCTGATGTTCAAACCAGATCCATTATCATGAGGGAGTGTGTAAACTGAGCACGGATATACAGGAACAAATGGTAGAGGCTTTTACACTCCCTACCACCCTAATACAATGGAGCAGAACAACAAACAAAACACCTGATGGAAGCAGATCTTATAAACTGTGATGTTGGACAAAGAAAATCTAAGGAGTTCCTATGACAAGTGGCAAAAGTTGTCCAAGCACACTAAGCCGTGATTAAGCATTTTATTTCTTTGCTTACTTTGTTTTTTGTGATTACTGCGTAAGATGTCTATACACCGATAAAGAAACAAGACCTAAATAACAATCAGTACAGAAAGTGTCTAAAAGCCAATTCCAAAGCTTTTGGACTCCAGCCAACCACAATGAGAACCATTATACACTAATGGAGAAACATGGAACCTTGATTATCCTTCCCAGCAGTGGCCACCCTACAAAAATCACTTCAAGAGCTTATCGAGTATGCACTCAGCGCACCTAAAAAGAACAATATTTAGAATTCTGCTGGCCTTGCTAACTATCAGTAAAGGTTGAATTTCCTCTCTGCATTTTGCAGTTGACATGGTTCTGCTGGCTTCCCCCTGCTGAGGCTTAAAGCAGACACTGGGGCGGTTTGCAGCAGGGTGTGAAGCAGCCGGGATGAAAATCAGGCCATGGTTCTTGACTGGGAAAAAGCGTCTTGTCCCATTAAGGCTGGCTAAAAGTTCCTGTCTTAACTGTCTTGGTTCACAAGTGATGGGAGAATGGATCAGGGGTTTGATAGAGGGATTGATGGGTCTGCTCTTATAAAGCATGAGCTTTACCAATCTTTTATGGTAAAGAGAGAGCTGAGCAAAAAGCAAAAGCTCTCTATTTACCGGTCAGTTTACGTTTATGAAATCTGGATCATGACTGAAAGAACGAGACCCTGGATACAAACAGCTGAGATTAATTTTCTCTATAAGGAGCAGGACACTCCCTCAGAGGTAGGGTGAGGAGAGAGGTTTGGCATAAAGCCTGCCTCAGGAGGTACTCCAGGCATGTCCCTGGGAGGGGGCCCAGGGGACGACCTAGGACACGCTAGAGGGACTATGTCTCTCGGCTGGCCAGTGGAGCCTCGGGCTTCCCCCAGCAGAGCTGGAGGATGAGGGAGGGGAGAGGGGAGCCTCTGCTGAGGCTCTTTCCCTCGTAACCCAGTCCCAGATAAAGCAAGTGACGATAAGTATGAGGATTGTTCTTTTCTGGGTGCTTTATTGGGAAGATCAGCGATAATATAAGGGGACTGGGTTTTGATTGGCTTCTAGTGGAGGCTGAATTAAAACCACTGCTCTGTCATGATGATCACCTCTCTACACGCCTATGCCTGCTTTCACTCATTGCTAGTTTGTGTTAATTGGAGCCATTCAGTCTAGGGTTATACTTGAGCTCTGTATGATCTCGTAAGCATTGATTATGCAGTTTAAATGAACTGCTTCCAGAGTCCAGGCTGTTCTCTCCAATTTCCTTCTGTACCTTGGTTCTGGTTCTGCTGTAGGCTGTTTTTTGGCAAAGATACTCAGGCATATAATATATTTTTTTAGACACCTGATGGATCGAGCTTGGGAGAAACTTTAGCATCTTGTCAACAGGGTTTTTGTCTTTTCTTGGTCACATGTACTGACCTGTCTCTGGTTCTCTGTCTCTAGTCTCAGGCGGGCTTCGATGCAGCGCCGGGTCTCGAGGAAGGCCTGCCGCTGAGCCCGGTCAGACAGGTAACTGATGAATATCCCAGCAGTGTTCATACACATGAAGAGCACAGCCTGAGCTGCGACCTGGAACACAGAAAAAAAAAGCTCTGATAAAACTGCTCCTTTTCCCAAAAGGTTATTATTATTAGTACACCTTATTTTTGATGTTCTGTTTATAAAATTCATTCTCAGGCTGGATCAAGTTGCTGATTTATTTGATTAAAAAAAATCAAAAAAAAATTGGGAAAAAACCGATTAAAGTCAATTTTTTAAAAGAAAACGTTTGAAAGGGGTTGAAATCTAGCTGTTCAGGTATATGAGTAAAACCTGCAGGAGAGAAACAAACCCACATGAGAGCAGCTCTAGACACCAGGAAAATGGGACAAAACATCAGTTAGTGGGATTTCCTGCCTCCTCAATGCTGTATATCTGCAACAGACAGATTTAGGTTTGGTGATTATATCTCAGACATTGTAGGAATAATGTTCTAAAACATTGAAAAAATGTTCTCGGTCCATTTGCATCAAACAAAGTCTCCAGTGGAGGGAAGAATCTGGATCTGGAGTTACCTGTTAGGGTCACTTTTATCAGTTTTTCCAACAACTTTAAAGGAGTCACTAAACAAAAAAAAAAAAAAAAAACTATGTTTAAAAAAGTAGGAGAGAAAAGAAGAGGTCATCAGTGGCATCCATTAAAGTTCCTAAAGATAGTGGTATCCAACACAATTCTTAGAAGAGATAGCCCAACCAAAAATCCTAGAACATCATTTCAGTGATTTAACACGTACTCGGACAATGGGGCTCTCATCCACATCCAGCTAGGGTGTGACCTGTCACAGGCAGAGCCCATGAGCTGGGTTGGGTCCCTCAGCGTCTAGGCCCCTTTGGGGTAAGGCCCCTCCGGGATCGTGCTCCAGCTGCTCTCACCCGCACTTCTCTGGTGGGTGCGGCCATCCCTATGTCTGCCCTGCATGTGTCCAAGTGATCTGGGCTGCTTCTGGATATCTGGGGCTTGTATCGGCTCTTTTTCTCCCTGGGGCCATATAGGGCGTGTCAGAGGGCACCCACCTCTGCTATTAAACTTTCCTTCTGAAGAGGCTTTGTAAATCCTTCGTATATGACAATGCTCATGCCTACATACAGTACCACAGGAGTTTGGCTCCAGTTGTTCACGCATAAACACTTACACTAAATACTAGTTTTGTGACTACACTATTTTTTGGCCCCAGCACCAATACGCGATGCTTAGCTGTGCAGTATCGACCAATATCGATACAATACCGATACCATCTGTTTGAAATTGATGTGTGTGTGTATATATGAAGAACTGCATACTACTTGGATGTAAAATAATTGCCATCATAGCTTTGTCAATCTGCTGCCTACCTTTGTGAAGCAGGAAAAAGACTAATACAACGTGAATCCAATAGAACGTTTTATTGCCTACCTGGAATGGGTGACAATAGCTGAATAAACTTTTGGCTCTCAAAATGGTATTGGTGCCCTATTTGTCAATACTCGCCGATACCACCATTTTAGTGCAGTATTGGGGCCCTGCCCGATACTGGCATCGGTGCAACACTACTAAATACTAAGCAGCAGCTACAGATAATGTATATACCTTCCTGATTAATATTGTGTGTTCACCATAGGTTTTCAGTCAGACACACATATATCTAAAGGCTACCCGCTGCTCCTTAATCTTTGTTTTATGCTTATATTGGTTGGCTGTTGTCTACTTTTTGCTGTTATGCTCTCTATTTTCTGTTCCTCTCATCTAATACAGGTATGAAGGCAGACTTCTAGGAGTGACTGTATATCTTTTGTGTTGTCTATTTTTTTTCTCTTGTATTTTTATTTTCTCTCTTTTCATGCACCCTTACCTGTTTCTATCCCCTCTCTTCCAGCTTAGATCTTATCCCCTCTGTCACTCCTACTTCTCTTTCCATCTCCATGTCTGTTGTATAAAATTTTACTCACTGAATCATTTTCAATAAAGTTTAATATACAGGTATCAAATGGAACCTTATGGCAACAGTCATAATGGTCTGCTTGTGAAAGCGAAGCTGTTTAGCTATCAGCTAGCTGTGGAACATCTAGTCCTACAGCAATATTGGCAAAAAAAAGGACACACACACCAAAATAAAGATATTTAAAACATACCTGGATGATTGTGACAGATAAAAAGGTAAAAAAAAATAAAATAAATATATGTAGCAGCTCACTGAAATTGGTGCTCTCATCACTTGAATCCATTAATAGCATGAATTTATGGAAGGAAATGGAAAAAGTTTTTATGCCAAAAATAAACCTCTCACTTCTACATATATACAGAAAGACTGAAAAGCTTCATAAATTGATTTTGGAAGCTCATCTGGAAATCAGTATTAATGTACCATTTTGACACCTTAGCCTGTATCATTTTCAAATACCTGTCCAATAAATTAGAGGCTTTAGGATGTGCAGATTGTAGAGCGACCAATGCGAGACAATGATCAGTGCACCTCACTTTAGTTCAAAACAAGAATATTTTCTTTGGAAGAAATTGCTTCTGTTTTACAGTCATTTTGAGTGTTTTGCCAGGATGAGCCATGTTGAAGATGACCTGTATGAGTGCTAGAGCGATAACACCAAGTTTAACACACTAGATCCATCCTCACACCTGAGACCTTGGAACAATAACGATTCACATGACACCAGGGAAGGGGGGAGGGCTAATTGGGCACCATCTGGACCTTTTCACCTATTGGTGTTTTCACCTTTACTAACAGCGGTTCAGAGATAAATGGCTGTGGTGAGTTATTTTGAGAAACAGCAAAATTACACTGCTATGAAAGATAAACGCTGACTACTTTACATTGTATCTAACAATAATTTCTCAAGTGTTGTTCCCTAAGAAACAGAAGACACAACCAGATGGAGAACCAGTGCTTCTATGTAATTCCTGATCCTTCTATTTTTCTGCCATCCATACAGGGAGCCTCCCTTTTCCATCTTCTCATTACCTCCGCCAAACAGATTTCCATGACATTTTTACCAAAGGTGCATCTCATTTTAAGGAGACATCCATCAGGATCCACATCATAATCTGAATGCAGGATTTTTTTAAAGGGTTCTTTAACACTATTTGATGGAACCAGCAGTTCCCCCCTAAACCAGAGGGTGGCAGCAATCATCATTGACAGGTTCATCATCATCATCATCATCATCTGGACTCAAAAAAGTCCAAAAATATTAAACTGAACACAAAAACACAGAAAAGGTGTGCCATGCCTCGTTCAAAGTCTCGATCTGCTGATAAAAGCAGAAAGCAGAGTGTGTGAAGAGGTTTAGAGCAGAACAAACACCAGAGGCTGCAGACACACACTGTGCCTTAATTATAAAAATAACAAAAGGTTTTTAAGGACATTTCTAGCAAAGGTGCACAACATGCCGAGGAACAATAAGATCATTTGTGAGATTTAGCTATTGGAGTAAGTCACTATATGGTGCAAAATTTGCTACTTGGCCAATTTTGGTAGCCAACTATACCTTGACATTATGCAGACGTTACGCTATGAAAGACCTTAAGCATCCCGCTCCTGACTGATACCTTTGTGCCGTTCAATCCTTTTTGCAAACTCTAGTTTCGCTAAATGATATTTGTGAGAAAATGACAGAAAGATAACACCAAGACATTTGACCTTCATCGCAGGTTCATCAGCCTGACTGTACCAAACGGCAGGTCTGGACTTAATCAGACTCAGTGCTGAAACTGAAACCAGAGTAAAGGTTTAACAAGGCTGTGAACAAATAAGCAACAAGACTGCTGCACATTTTATATCTCTCCCTCATTGGTTTTTGTTGTTTTTTTCCACTTGGGTTATACAGCATAAATGTTGCAATATTTACAGGTTGTTTATTTTTAATATTTTCATTGTTTTACATCAGAAAATCCTGGCATTTTGACAGGAGCAACTGTATAGCAGAGACACATTTTAAAACTCAATACTTGCATGAGGAAAATTGCAAACTAGATATCATCTAGTATTAGCATTACTTGTGGAATATGTCAAGCATCTTTCGTATCCAGCTTCTTCATTCAGTAACATACCATCATACATATTCTGTTAAGGGTGTCTGAAAGGGAATAATCACGCATAGTCAAAAAGCAGCTGGAAGAGCCGTTCCAGAGAACACATCACTCTGATGTCAACATTAAATAAATAAAAAACTCAGTGAGGGGGAGTCCTGCTAACTGTCAGCTCTGGTTTTACTTCACAATGACTCATCTGTCTTAGTTCCTTCACTCAAACATGAATTATTCAGGGACCTATGATGTATTTCTTATCTTAACGCACAAGCAGAATCTGGAAGCTGGTTTCCTCCGATTTGGTCTGCTTCTGTGAAAAATCAGTTGGATTGTTATTAGAAAATTTACTTAAGAGTGGAAAAAGCTTCCTATTCAAATTAAGGGATTGCAAATATAACTTTAAACATTTGTCCATTTGACCCCTGGGTAAATTCCCTGTGCCACCTAAAGAGGAAAAATCATAACCTTGCAATTCCACATGTTGATAAAAGTGTTAAGATCTAGTTAATAATGTAGGTCAGAAATGAGCCTGACGTCACATGCAAGCTTTCATCCTCCCTGACAAGACGACGAGCCAGGACGAGAACATCTGAAACCAGATCTGATGTGATCACGGAGCCAAGGAAATAAAAACAGGTCAGTGATTATCGTCAGATGAACGAGCACGGCTCCTGCATTTACACTCTCTAGCATATACCACCCACCGTCCTCTCTGCAAGACACGATAGAGAAATGCTGCTTGTCAAAAAATGTTTGACAACAAGTTTCTTCTGTCATCGAGGTTCAAAAAGATAATCGGGCTGAACATCTGCATCCTGAATCAGTGCTTTATTAGAACTGTCCAACTACTACAAAGCTGCTGCTGCTTTGTTTAATGTGCTCTGCTAAAGTAACAGACAAACTCAGAATGAGAGATTGCTGCAAAGTAAACGTCTTAATGCAACCAAATTTGTGATTGCCAAGTTTTGATTCAAAAGGAGAGATTGCTGCAAAGTCAGTGTCATCTGGGTTTC